GTCCGGTCATGTCCGATCATCCAGTACACCGAAGTCCGAAGGTACATTTCGTCTTCCATCGACTTAGCAGCTACCATTTCGCCAACCCACTGGGTAATTTATAGGCTAATCCGCTAATGGCTTCTTAATTGTTTTTTTTTCCCTTAAAGCATGGATATTAGATGGATATAGAGTTATATGGAACTCATTGCAATTGCATTAGCATGAAGTATGAAATGAGTGTTAGGTTTTTATTTATTTTCTTGATGATAATTTTTTTGATTCATGGTGGTTAAATTTGGGGAAGGGACATAAATAGAATAATTCCTAAATCTTCGTTTACGCTTTTGTTTAGTATTGAAACTTGATGTGGTATGGGAAATTTTTGAAAGGATTTCGACTAATCTTGAAAAAAGAATGTTGATTTTTTCCGAACCGATCTAATTAACTATAGTTTCTATTATTCTTTAGCATATGGATTGATAATTTTGCCTTGTTATTTGTTGAGGTCTGTTAGTTCAATCAAATTGTGATTTCTTTCTAGTGGGTTTTTTGAACTTGATTTTATATGTGAAAAAGTCGAAATGTGATAATTTTCAACAAAGAATGTCATTATTTTATTTGCCCTTGTAATTCACTTGCAAGTCCATGCTTCCTAGATGGATGGATTCGCATTTAAGCGAGAGGTTTTCCATGACTTCTAATTGACGGAATGATAGAAGATCCATTTATTTGTACCGGAACTAATTTATCCGGATCAACCCTTAAATGACTTATGCATTCAGCTTGGTTTGGAGGCCTATATGAATGATGTGGATGTAGTTGTAGTTTACATTATTAGGACCAAATGAAAATATGACCATGCATAATGAATTATTTCTCTCTGGTTTTTGGATGCTTGCAGTCGATACAACAGTGATACAAAGAGGCATGATCTGTATGAGACCTCGGTTTATATATGTATACATTTAAATTATGTTAGATTTCATTTTTTTCTCTCTCTCTCTCTCTCTCACACACACACACACACACATATACTCCAATATAAGTGTCCGTAGTCGTGTGTTGGCTTGTAATGCTATCGTAGCCGGTAGCCCATCATGCATGATTTTTCAAAAAAAAAATTTAACAACTATAAGAACTAATTTCATTTATATGGGAAATTGAATACAAACCAGACATATATGATTTTTTTTTAATTAAAGGTGTTCCTTTTAACAAAGTAATTTAGAGCAATCTCTCATTTCCCTATAGATGTCCCTAAAAAATTACAATTATAGGCAATGAAGTTATAATTCAACTATATATTTCTCATATCATTCTCTCTCAAGTATAATCGTATAAGATATTAAGATCCAAGTGTCCAAATATTTTTCTTTTGTTTGACGAGTTTGAAATTTAAACTATTATATATTTTCGGAAAATGACAAGCCATGGAGATGGAGGTAGCTTCCATCACTCTACAAACTCTACACCAGTACATTTGGATTTCACTCTATCGACTTCGATTACCGAATCAATTTCATCTCCATAACTTGTTACGGGTGAACTTCAAAGCGATTCCGATCTCTCTAATAGAAGGTAATTTAGTGCTTGTGTGGAACCATTTCACAAAGAAAACTGTGAATGGTGAAGAAAAGGCGAATGCAATTATTGCACGAAGCAACTTGGAGGCAAGTCAAGGAATGGTACTAAACATTTGCATGATCACTTTAAGAGATGTCCGAGGAGGAGAATTACGAAATAAGACAAAAAGTTTTGACTTCTAACTTAGCGAGTGATGCAATGTCTCTTACTTTTGATCAAGAGATGGAAAGAAATTAGCTTATTTCTATGATCATATTGCATGAATACCTACTTTCTATGGTTGATCATATCGACTTCAAGAAGTTTATAAGTACTATTCAACCATTATTCGGTGTCCAAGTAGAAATATAGTGAAAAATGATGCCTTCAAGATATATGACAATGAGAGGGCCAAAATGAAGAGACTTTTCGAAAAACTTGAAAGTAGAGTTGCCATCACTACTTGATTTGTGGACGACGAGCAACCAAAAAAAGGGTTCATAGTCGTTATGACTCATTACATTGATAGTTCTTGGACATTACGAAAGCTACCTATTAAGGTACTCTTCATTTCTTCTTAACTTAATGATGTTTGTTTAATTGTTTTAGTTTAATGCTTCTAGTTTATAACTAATTTATATCTTACTTTAGGTTTATGTATGTTCCTTGTCTACATACAAACATTGTCCTTGCAAGTGCTTTGGTTGATTGTTTGATGGATTGGAATGTTCAAGGAAAATTATCCACTATTACATTAGATAATTGTTCCACCAATAATTCCATGGTTGAGTATGTGAGGGACAAATTACAATCTAAAGATTTATTGAATTCTAGTTCTTTATTGCATATGCGGTGTTGTGCTCATATCATTAACTTAATAGTGAAAGATGGGTTAGATGTCATTAAGGATGGGGTTGAACGAATTAGAGATAGTGTAGCATTTTAGACAATAACTCCTAAAAGAGTTGAAAAGTTTGAGGAAAGTTGCTAACTTTCTTCTCATTCCTATCACGAAGAAATTGGTTTTAGATTATCCAACTAGATGGAATTCTACTTATTTGATGCTTGAAATTGCTTTATTATATAAGGATTGTTTCTCTAGGTTGAAGCATCACGAACCTTATTATAAGGTTGCACCTATTAATAGTGATTGGGAATTCGCAAAGGAAATGTGTGAGAGATTAAAGATCTTTTATAGTGTTACTTGAATTATTTTCAAGAACTCGATACCCTATGTCAAATATGTTTTTCACTAAAATTTATGAAATTAAGGTTACATTGACTCAATGGCTCACTTGTCCAAATCAAATGGTCAGTGAAATGGCGGAAAGTATGTTAGTCAAGTTCAATAAGTATTGGAGTGTGATTTATGAAATAATAGGAGTAAGCTACGAGTTTTAGATCCTAGATACAAAATGGATTCATTGGAGTTTTATTTTGAAAAAGTTTATAGGAGTGAGGCTATGGTTCGGATTGAGAATATAAGGAAACTTTGTTATGGTTTCATTGGCTGAGTACCAAGAAAATAGGAATGTGGATGTAGGATGTGGTAGCTCTATTGTGGCTAATTCTTCAACGAGTTTATGATGATATGGAATCCAAGTTTGACTTATATGTTTCAAGAAAAAAGGCCAAGTTACTTTTGTCAAGACAAAGCTAGATTGCTACTTAGATAAGGGTGTTATTCCAAGAACCAAAAATTTTGATATTCTAGTACGGTGGAAAGTAAATGGAGTGAAGTACCCTACTTTGATGGCAATTGCTAAGGATGTGTTGGCAATCCTCGTGTCAACCGTTGCTTTAGAATCGGCTTTTAGTCTTGAGGCGAGGCTAGTAAGTCCACGTTGAAGTAGACTTCATCCAAAGACGGTGGAAGCATTAATGTGTGCTTAAAATTGGTTGTGGACAGCTGAAAATAAAAGTAATGCACTAAAACTCTACATATGAATTTGATTTTTTTATTAATTTCTTAAAAAATTTATATATCTTATTTATGTTTATTATATTTGTTTCTAGGTGGAACTTCATTTGTTTCGGATGGTTATTGTACTATGTATGAGGAGTATCCGAAGAAGATGAAGGGATAAAATAATATGTCAAAGTTTAAATGACAAACATTAAAAAATTTTATAATGACTAATTCACTTTTAATTTTAATGAATGTAGGATCCGTAGTAATCGACGATTATGTTGAACTCCAATGTAATGAGTGAGTCTTGATGATCTTTGAGTAGTAACATGTAAAGATTTGTTTCTTTAATTGTATTTGTGATATTTTATCAATTTAATTAAGCATGTTATTTATTCGGTTGAAAATGATTTAATAGATTATGAATTGTATTGTAATTTGTGATAATTAAGTATATGCTTGGAACATGTTTTTTTATTGTTTCTCTTTGAGTTCCGGTGATTTGATCTCTTGCTTGGGAAACAAAATTATGCAAATTGTGTGTGCTCATTATAAAATTTGTCAAAACGGGACGAGGCGGGGCGGACATAAACGGTAAAACGGAGCCTCGTTTGTCCCGTGGGGATCCCCGTCCCCGTTTGGGGCGGAGATGGGATGGCAAATTCTACCACGTTCGGGGCACGAGACGGGGATGGGGAATTTTTAAAGGAGTGGGGCGGGGATGGGGATGGCTATCCTTGCCCCACCTGCCCTATTGCCATCCCTACCGATGCGGCAAGCTTATTAGATCGATTATCAAATCTAATTGTTGTATCCATACACAAATCATCAAATGCATCTTTGTAACCAACTTTGATTAGCCCTTACAAACACCATGCAACCACGCTACGATCTCTACAATTCCATTATGAACTTTTTTCTTTTTCTTTCATATGTCCATATCAATGGGTAATCAATAATAGTTTTCTTTTTTGGTTAAGAAGACAACAGCTAAACACAATAAATTACAAAAACAAAAGGAATAACCACTAAACACATTGCAAAATGCTAAATTGGGTTAAACATTGTTTTTAAACAGGCTAATTGAACATTGATGCATAATGGTGCATTTGAAGCAGCCTAGTACAGATATTCGATTAGTAAGTATCTAAAATCTCCTTGTTTATTTTTTATTTAAACTAGTAATTTATTATTAAATTTCTATTAAACATTATAGTAATTTTTATAATCCATAAATATATTAAAATCATTTAATTTCATTAAATTTTTTTAACAAAAGCCCATCTTCCATTCGATATTTGAGAGGCTAAGAAACTCGAAAAAAAGAAAAGCACTTTACTGCCAAATCCCTGCTACTCTCCAACAGTCAAAAACAAAAGACCTCGTCTCTCTCGCATCTATTCCAAAATTTAAACTCCACAGATCCACACAGACACCAGCATTGCTCGATCAATCGCAAACAAAGATGAAAAAAAGAGTTGACAGATTTTAGAACTTAGATTGATAGATAGATAGGTTGATTGCTAGAGCTTACGGAACAGTGAAAATGGAGTTTACTGAAGCTTATAAGCAGACGGGTCCTTGTTGTTTCTCTCCGAACTCCCGCTACATTGCTGTTTCTGTGGATTACCGTCTCGTGATTCGTGATACGCTCTCTTTTAAGGTATTTTCAAGACCCTTTTTTATTGTTCTGTTTGGTTTTAAGAAATTCGTGGTGAATTATGTGTAATGGGCCGTGTTTGGATGCCAAGAAAGATTGCAAAGTTTTGCTTTATCTTTTTCTTCTCTTTAGTGTCAGTGGTGTGTATTGAGCTACCCTTTCGATTTTCTTTTTGTTTCCTAGAGATTCGTGGTGAATTTTGTGTTTGGATTTGAGAAAGTTCGAGAAAAATGGAAGAATAGAAAGTTTTGTTGTTGTTGTTGTTGTTGTTTTTTTTTTTCCTTCCTGCTAGTATCATTGGTGTGTGGTTGAGGTAGGATGGGAATCTGATAGTATGTGAAGTCATGTTGCTTGATATTTCTTTGTTTGGTTACTGAGCAAAAGCTTGAGAAAGTGGAAGTTTGTGTCTTAGTTTCTTGTGAGTTTTGTGTAATGGCTGTGTTTGGATCCTTTGGAAATGTATGAAAAGTATAAATGCTTTGATCTTTTCCTGTTTTCTTGTTAGTGTCATTTGCATAAATTGACCTGGACTGGTTAAGAAACAGGGCAGGAGGATATTTGATGTTATAATGCGAGGTTTTGATTCAATTATGCTTATGACTTGTTTGGTTACTGAGAAACTTTGTGGGAAAAAAATTATTTGTCTGCTCAAGCATTAACTACTGAATTTTATTAATTGAGGCTCTTAAAGATGGGATTTTTTTTTTTTTGTAAGATCTTGCTTTGTGTTTTATGATCTGCAGGTTGTGCAGTTGTTTTCTTGCTTGGATAAGATAAGCTATATAGAATGGGCAAATGATTCTGAGTACATCCTTTGTGGTCTGTATAAAAGACCAATGATACAAGCATGGTCATTAGCTCAACCTGAATGGACATGCAAAATAGATGAAGGTCCTGCTGGTGTTGCTTATGCTAGATGGAGTCCTGACAGCCGGCACATACTTACCACTTCTGATTTTCAGTTGAGGTTAACAGTTTGGTCGCTTTTGAACACGGCATGTGTTCATGTCCAGGGGCCGAAGCATGGCTCTAAAGGGGTTTCTTTCACTAAAGATGGGAAATTTGCTGCGATCTGTACGAGGTGTGATTGCAAGGATTATGTAAATCTACTATCGTGTCATACATGGGAGATAATGGGTGCGTTTGCTGTTGATACATTGGACTTAGCTGATATAGAGTGGTCGCCGGACGATAGTGCTATAGTAATATGGGATTCACCACTTGAATACAAGGTAATGGAGTTTGTCTTTTTATTGACCATGTATCAAGAGTGCTTGACTGTATAAGCTTGAGGAGAAGTAAATGTTGGTAGAAGCGAATGTTTATATTGCACCCTTCTAATTTCTGGGTGATTTTATGATACATTGCCAAGCATTGAAAATGTCTGTTGTTATCAATTTTATGTCTCATGCATTATGCATATGCAACGTCACACAGGAGCGCCACATTGTAATACATGTGCTTTGTCAATGCCCAAGAATGCATGTTAACTTTGGACGTTCTTCATGTTTGTATCCTTATCTATAAGACCGAGAGCTTATGGCTGTTGCAATTTGGTACAGGTTCTAATTTACTCCCCAGATGGGAGGTGCTTGTCCAAGTATCAAGCATATGAAAGTGGACTAGGTGTAAAAAGTGTTTCGTGGTCTCCTTGTGGCCAGTATCTAGCCGTGGGTAGTTTTGATCAGATGTTGCGAGTTTTGAATCACCTAACTTGGAAAACATTTGCTGAATTCATGCATCTATCCACTGTCCGTGGTCCTTGTTGTGCTGCTGTTTTCAAGGTGACTGGATTTCTTTGTTTTTTGATTTCATTAGGTGCACTGATAAGTTATTTGGTTACAACTTACGGGTCTTCTTTCTTAAATTTGCAGGAGGTAGACGAGCCATTGCACCTCAATATGTCTGAGTTATGTATGAGTGATGAATTTCTCCAAGGAAATTCTGGTAAGCATAACTGCATAAGTATGGAGTATCTTACAGTGACATGGGTATTGTTTGGCACATAGGATGCTTGATCTGTAAAATGAATGTGAAACTGCCTTCATGCAACTATATTACTTCTTTTGAATTACTTTTCTAGTTGAATTAATATTTTTTCCCCTTCTAAAAGATGTTTCAGAAGGACACTTCAGAGTCATGTATGAGGTTACTGAAGTACCCATTAGTTTGTCTTTCCAGAAGCCTCCTGCAGACAAACCGAATCCCAAACAAGGCATCGGTAAAGCCCATCTTTCTCATATAGTATATTGATGCAATTAACAGTCCATGTTTTAGGAGTTCCTTGCAGTGCCTTGACATTTGTTTTCCTTTTTGTTAGTATCAAACCAAATTGCACAAACAATACATGACCTTAATTGCAGGTCTTATGTCATGGAGTAAAGACAGCCGATATATTTATACACGCAATGATAGCATGCCGACTGCTCTGTGGATATGGGATATGCACCATCTAGAGCTTGCTGCCATCTTGGTGCAGAAGGATCCCATACGAGCAGCAGCTTGGGACCCGACATGCACACGTCTTGTTCTCTGTACTGGCAGCTCTCACTTGTATATGTGGACCCCTTCTGGTGCTTATTGTGTTAGTAATCCACTACCACAGTTTAACATAACTGATTTGAAATGGAATTCAGACGGAAGCTGTCTCCTCCTCAAAGACAAAGAGTTGTTCTGCTGTGCTGCTGTGCCCTTAATGCCAGAATCTAGTGAATATAGTTCAGATGATTGAGGCATGTCTCCATTTTTTAATCTAGATGGCTTGCAAACTTGACAGAAGAAAAAAAAAAGTACTACAAAAACAGGGCATCAACGTTTAACCAAATATTCTGATTCTCTTTATCTCTGGAACAAGATATGTTTGTAGAGTTCCAATTTGTAGTTGAGATATTAGGTGACTAAGTGACAAGTTTCCTGTGTTGTAAAGGACTTCAGTTGGAAATGAGCGGTATTGTTAAAGAAAGTTTAGTTTCTAATTTCTCAGAAGTCAAGAACTTGAAGAAATGTGAATGTGCAACAGCATCACTCAATTTCTTACGGAGGAAACGCTTGCTTTGTGCATTTCAACTTCTTAAACTACAAGTTCAGCTCCTGCGTGACAGGTTTGGCTGGAAATGACAAAAGGAAAGGAACTATGGCAAAATTTGTGGAGTTTCGGGGAATCAACTCTCCCTTGGCAAAGCTGTGACTAAAAAACAAAAGCAAGCATACCATAGAAGTGCTTGCTTGCGATGATCCAACGTTTCGTAATTCTGTTTCTTTCATTTTACGATAAAGGACATTTTACGATGGAACTGCCTTGGAATGAGGTCGCATTTCAAATACTAATTTAATGAATTACATGCCATGTCGTTAAGTTTCGGCTAACCTTGTACAAGACAAATCGAAGATCAAAAGTCAACTGGAAACGATCTATTTTACGGCCGTTCCCCTTCTTGTTTGTAACAAATTGGTTTTGCATGCGCAGGAAGTTCTAGTTAAGTTTCTATACCAACAAATATTTACAAGCTGACTATACTTTCTCAGCAATTGATTATTTTGCTGTTTATTTTATATTCTTTGTTTTAAATTCAAATAAGAGATATAAGATTTTTTTTAAAAAAAAGCTGACTTGTGAATTGTAAATGCATAATATAAAGAGTTTAGGCGTATCTTAGATGATGCTTAACTGCATGTGACAAAAGTAAACTACTGCTGAAGAGATGCTTTCGGCTTCTTGATTCAAATTGTTAATTGAGATTAAGAGAATCCAGTTGTAAGCAAAAATCAATCAATAAATAAAAGAATCCACTTGCCGCATGCATTAATGTTCCTCGATTTCAATAAAAAACTCCATTGCCGCTATCACACCAGAATAATTAACACAATCACAAAGAAACACCCATCCATTGCCACAACAGTGATTCACCTTAGCAATTTCTTTTTTTATTTCTGACAATCTTGGTTTCTATTTTTCGTGTAAATAAATCAAGGGAGGGAAAAAAGAAGAAGAAAAGGGATGCATGATTTGCCAATCACAACTTTCTAAGCTATGTCTATCGAACAAGGTTGTGAAAATTGAAGCAAGTTTATAATGCCATAATTTAAAAATTTTGTAACTTACTCTAATCAGTGCTGTTTACAGGGTGCCATTGCTGAGGTTGGCGGTATTAAAGCTTTGGTTGACCTTATTTATAAGTGGGGCACTGGCAATGATGGGGTACAATATAAGCATCACTTCCTACATGATTCCACAATTTCTGTAGCATTTCAATTAAAAATTATGGGTTGGTGTTTGCACGCTTATTTTCAGGAATGAGCAGCTGGAGCGCTGGCAAATTTGGCGGCTGGTGAGAACTGTAACATGGAAGTAGCAGTGGCAGGTGGCGTCCATGCTCTTGTAAATCTTGCTAGATCCTGCAAGTTTGAAGGAGCAAGAGCAGGTGATCCTGGTTATAGCTTTTAATTTGTGCATAGGTTCACGCGTAAATGTTCATTTTTTGTATATGATATGCGAGTGTCATGTTTATGGCCCTTGATTCAATTACTTGATTAAAAGTGGGTTCTAATCTAGCTGTTCATGGCGATAATAATAACAACAATGCTACTGTTGGGCGAGAGGCTGAAGCATTGGTCCAACTCACTTGTTCCCAACATGAAGGTGTAAGGTAACCTATTTTTCTTTAACTACCTATGGTATGAATATAATGGTTAATAATGATCTCACTCAAGCATATAACAAGATAATCTTATGTATTTTAGATAATTCTAATAAAAAGTAATTTCTCACTCTCTTTTTTGCTAACTTGTTATCCATTTTCATTGTTGTTATTTGAAGAGCACTATCATTCTAAAATTTTAACTTTTTTGTTTAGCTTGAATTTATTTAATAATAATAGCATAGAATGTACTTAGCTTCGCAAGCTTCTACTCTTTTAAATAACCTGCAGAATTTCATGTTTTTACTTACTACCAAGCAAGAAGCTGTTGGTGCTCTATGAAATTTATCATTTGATGACAAAAATAGAGAAGCAATAGCAGCAGCTGGTGGCATCACAGCCTTGTTATGGGATTGCAAGTGAACAACAAACCTTAGTTAAAAAGAATTGTTTTCTTCTTGCATTCCAGCTGATGCATCAAAAGCAATAATATCCAAAACTATTGCTGTTATTTATATCATCATCATTATTTTATGTAATCAGCTTCTAACGTTCTAATTTTTCCAGGTAGTTTGAGATGCTTATGACATGATAGGATTTAAAAAAAAGCACGCAAGTAGATAGAGAAATAAATAACTACCAAAACCTCTCAAGCATTAATATTGAGATGTCCTTGATGTAGAATTTTGTTATCATGAAACTTTGAATGGTATTGTATGCTTCTTTCATGTAAAAAAATAAGTATAACAATGCCAATTTGATTATTATTTGAATTAATATTGTTGCATGCAATCGCAAGTAATTGATGTTTGATGTGATTTAGGTTTCTCTAGCACAATCTTGTTCAAATTCCTCCCAATGTCTTCAAGAAAGGGTTGTGGGTGCTCTTTGGGGATTGTCAGTATCAGAAGCTAAAAGGTATTAAAAGTTTAAATCGATGTTGCTTTGGATTCCTCCTAATATATTAATATTATTAGAATTGTTAAGATAATTGCTGCCTTCTATTGGTTGCTTGGCATATGGAGATCATCCCTTGTGATCCTTTATTGCAATGGATTTGATGGTGCCTTCACGTTTGCTATGCATGGACCCTGTCATTTTCTCTGTTCTGTTAACTATCATAACTCCGCTTCTTAAGATGAGATGTCAAGACATCAAAAAGAAATGTTTAAACTCCAGGAATGAAAAGACTGTCTTTTTCCTCTTTGATATAAAATTACTCGATGGTATCTTGGTTTCACTCTCTACTAATGAACTTGGTAAGCAAAATTGCACCTCTACAATCTGTTATACTTTTACTAATGTGTTACTTCGATTTCCTATTAATCTAGTGTTGCTATTGGGCAAGAAGGCGGTGTAACTCCACTTATTGTGTTGGCACGCTCAAATATAGCTGTAAGTTTGCTTTTGGGCAAACTCAGATGAACTGAAATCATCTCCATCAATTTACGAATAATTGAGTTTTCTTTAGCTGAAAAGATTTGGTATAACATTCATGGTAGAATTTGAACATGACTCGAATCACTTATATTTATTGGATTTTCAAGATGTCCATGAGACTGCTGCAGGTGCTCTTTGGAATCTGGCTTTTTATCCCACTAATGCTCTTCACATACTAGATGGTGGAGGAGTCCCAGCCCTCATACATCTGTGTTCTTCATCGGTATAAAAAATGGCACGTTTAATGGCTGCATTGGCACTAACATACGTGTTTGATCAAAGGTAGAGATTCAAAATACTTGTCTATCTATCATTACTTGAATCTAACCGAAACACATGTATTTATTTATGAGTTACCACTAACACATCCTGGATATACTGGGATGGCTTTGTGGCATGTATATCCTAGATGCTTCTATTACTAGGATTGTAGTGGGTTCATGTGTCAATTTGGAATGGTTTTTGAGATTTAAGAGGGTGGCCCTAAACAAAATTGAAGCATTTGTTCTTTCTTTCTCTGTTCCATAAAAATTTACAACTGCCATAGTCTCATCCGCCTCCACAGCTCTTGTACAAGTAGCTGAAGCAGTACGTATACCAGAAGCAGGGAACCTGAGATACAGGTTTTTTCTTTTTACTTTCCTTTTCCAGTGGCAGTCTTGAAGATTCACTTGTAATCAACTGATATGATTGTTTATTTTAATAGAAACAATAAGCATAATTCTGTTGTTGCTTTTGGTTTTGTCTGTGGGTGATAAATGTCTTTGTGAAGATGGGTATACCTAGAATTTAGTAATTGTTATAATCATCAGCAAACAAACTTATGAATTGGTAGTGTAGAATGCATGTTCTTGGATGCTTTAATTGAATCCAAATTACATTTTGCACTTTATATGATATATATTTGTTACATTGCCTGTGCTCTTGTGGTTGTATTTACTATTTGGGGAGTTTAGATTGCTTGGCCCTGGGTGAAGAGTGGGTAAATTTTTCTGATTGCGAAATCTTGGCAAAACATTGTAGCATCATCAGTAGATTTTATAATAAGGCATGCAAGTAAGTTTATAAAATACATAAGTTAAGACTCCTCACTGTTGATCTTGTTCTGAAGTCTCTGCGTTTCTGTTTTTCATTAAGCTGAGATTGGAAGAGTTCTTGCCATGTTGCGAAATCCTTCTTCTATTCTCAAGGCTTGTTCTGTCTTTGCTCTTCTCTAAGTGATGCTCCTTTCCTCTCCATTGTGCCTGCATGTGGAAGATGAATTTGAAAATTGAAGTGTTCCTGCAAAACAATGTGAATGGCAGACATTAACCGGATAACACTTTTGTTCTGCATTTCAGTTCACAATCCCAGGAGGATGGCATGCTTTGCATCATACAATCCTGTTGCAAAATGCAGGAGCACTATGAATCTTACGCGCTGCTGCTATAGCAGCTACAGGCCCTATTGAAGTCGAAGTTTTTGCAAAAATCATACTGCACAACCTTGAAAACCACCATTTGGAAGCTTTAAATTAGAGCTGGGAAATGGTTTCATACTGAATCCCTATGATGACATTCATCAACTTTCAAATTTGTGCTTCTATTCCGTAAAGTACCATGGTGGTAATTTCCAATGCAGCCAAATATTCTCATGAGTTGTGGTATGACCAATGCAAAAGCACATTGGTTGAATGTGAGACGCTCTTGAATGGTTCCATGAAAGCAGGAGCTAAGGATGACTTGGTCGCGTTTGCTTGATGTAACTGGTTTGTAAGGAAGCCTGGAGCAAACATTCTTTATGGCAGTTTTGAATTTGACCATGTAGAGCCTGACCTTACATGAATAATATGACGAAAACTGGATCTAAACATTTTCGATAGGAGCCTCGTCATGCCAGGGTCTTAAGAAGCAATGTAACTAATAAGTGACGGCAAAATGGGCTCTAGTTGAGTGACAAGACCCCAATAGTTGCCGAATATTAGTGGTGCTACCTGTTGCCCTTGTCAAGTTATGTGTCTTTGCCGCATGTAAAGAAATATGGCCCCAAATCATATACCGCCTTGACTTAATCAAATCGAGTTGCTGGTTTGACTTTTTACACGATACGTTTTTCTGCAAATGAATCTTGAATCAGGGGCACCCTACATGATGTAGGCAAACATTTATAGGTTCTTAAGCAACAATGAGTTGTTGGGAAGAGTTGGGGTTGCGGCACTGCCTAAGAAACGACGAGTCATTAAGGCTGTGTTTGTTTGTTTTTCTCATTTTTTAATGTTTATTTTGTGTTTAGGAAAAAAGTTAATGGAAAATAATTTTCAATCAATAGAAAATGATAGAGTATTTTTAAAAAAGTGTTTTCAAAGTTAAAAAAGAGAAAAACATTATCTTTCTCTCTCATAAGTCGTCTTGCTCTCACGTTACTCACCTCTCTCTCGATATATTTTAACAATTTTTTTATTTGTCTCATTTTTATTTAAAATAAATCAAATTAATTTTTTTAATTATTTATTATCAATTATTATTAATTATTTAATTATTTTTTCTCTATTTCTACTAACATTTGATTTTTCGATTTATAAATACATTAAATATTCTTAAAAACCATTTTTAGACCTTGAAATATTTTTATAATAAATAATTTAATAATTTATCTTTATTTTTTTTAGTATTATCTCAAACACTACCTAAACTATACTTAAATGATTGGAAATGATTATTATAAGACTACAATCATTTGTGAAAAATTTGAAACTAATTAATTCGTTAATAAATACATTATTTTTTCAATACTATTCATTTGTAACTAAATAATAATTTTTGACTAATTTTAATTAGTTATAAAATTTTGTTGATAATTGTAGTCAATAGTTAGTTACAAATTATTTCAACATTAATCTTTTGACACCAAATGAATAATTATTCATAAATGATAACTAATAATATGTAAAACTATTTTTTAGATTAAATTATTAGTTCAATTTCCAAAAAAGAAACTATTTTTGCATTTCAGTTTTATGTATCAAACAAACATCGAAATATATTTTTCAGCAGTTTTTTCATATAATTACCAAACGTCGGAAAATAGCTTCTTTAGAATTGATTTTTCTATAAAAGTTGTTTTTTTTGACAAATAAACAAAGCCTAAGAAACATCATATATGCATTATTTAATCAAGCATTTTAATTCAAAAGATGGTTTTCATGCATTGAACTATGAAACCTAAATTTTTTTGGATTCCATCTTCGTTATCTTTCCTAATTATGAAAGTATGTTCAACTAATTGTCACTCTTTGAAGACATCAAGTAAAACACATAGGCATCAATTTTCTTCTTGATCGAAACCTCCACACAACAATCAAATACTTCAAATACAAATATCAAACAATTCAACCCTAAATTAACACAAACACAATCCAATTTTTAACATAATTAATCACAACCCTGAAACAAACCACTATCATACACAACCCAAGACCTAATCAATCAACCAATAAATCAATTCAAAACACAAGCAGCATAAAAAAAAAAAAGCACAGACTCTAAATAATGATTAGGTCTGAAACCTAACTATTCTTGTAATTTTGAAAGTTTAACCACGCCTAATGCATGTATAGATGAAGTTGTGATAAAAACTTCATATTAAATGTACAACCCTAGCTCCTTATTTAAGTTAACCGAAATTCACAACTAAATAACCAAAAAAGAATTGAACCTTATTTCAATGAATTAGGATTAAGCCAAAACTTCTAAATATCAAAGCAATGTCAATCAAATTTCAATTAAGGATATAAGTAAGTCAAGACCTACTTGAAAGAAGTTTAGATTCACAAAAATAAGTACGTCAAGAATTCAAAGATACAAATATTATCATCTTAATTTTTTAAACGCGATGATCGAGCGTCACCTTAACTGATCAACAATAAGGATAAGGACGTATATCACACAAAAAGTAATTTGTTGACAAAATTCTCTTTATATATTTTTCAAAACTCAAAAATAGTCCAAACAATTGACACCTTAATTTTTTAAACGCGATGATCGAACATCATCTTGACTGATCAATATTAAGAATGAGGACGTATATCACACAAAAAGCAATTTATTGACAAAATTCTCTCTCTATAATTTTCAGAACTCAAAAATTGTCCAAACAATTGGAGGAAAGAAGCTTAAATACCTAGGGTCTAGTGTAAAATACCTAATTATAGAAAAGTAAATAAGAAAATAAATAATAAGATAGATGTTGGCACAAATATAATTGTTCTTCAACCATTTGATTTCTTCAAATTTGGTCGTCAAATTATTCAGTCTTACACATATATTCTGGTGTTTGCATAATGAAAAGATGATAAAGGATTGATTTTGGAATGATGTTGGTGTTGCTTGCAGTAGTAACAATATTAAAAAATGAGTATTTGAAATGAAAAAAAAATGCACATTTGAGAACAAAATTATGTTTCATTAAAAATGCATTAAAAAATATATTTTGATCATAATTTATATTAAAAAAACACTTTATAATTTAATAAATCAAATAAAAAGTTTAGAAAGCCATCAAATTTCATATTCTAGTTTGTTTTTTCGAAACAAAACGCCTCAAATTAGTTTTTTTTTTTTCTTTGTGATAAAAAGCTGATCAAAACACCATATTATCAGGAAAGCTAGATCGAGATTACGTTTTTGTCTAATTGAATTCAAGCATTTCATGCTTATTCAAATTAATTAGCATATCATAAGAAGTTTATTTCTCTTATTCCCCATATGATTTGAAACTGAGATTATAACAAGGGGAGCAACACTCATTTATCAACCAAGCAAACTTTTCAATTTTTGTAATCAGTTCAACATCCACGTTTGTCCCTTCATGGCAAATCTCCAACACTCTTCCCTCTAATGCGGCTTCGTTTTGTGATGGATCAATGCATTGCTTAGCGGTATTGTTAAGCGATTTGGGATTTGCTTTATCAAAACCGAAAAACCAGAAATCGTAGAAAGGAAGATAGACATGATTGATTCCTACAAGTTTCAATATTGCAGGACTTTTCCAATGGAAAGAAGTGGCAGTGGATAACCCCAAAGACAACGTGACAATACATTAGGTCAAAAATAATTATGAAATGGAGTGGCGAAGGGCCCCAAATAATGCTACTTCCATCCTTCTTTGGGTGTCGTTTTCCTAGTTGTTGGGGGACTTAACTAGCATTGAAGATTAGCAATCATCATATGACGTCAGGAGAAGCAAAAAAGAAAAATTAATAATAATAAATAAATATTTATTATCTGCTAATTATTGGCATGTGCCAGCTTCTACTTTATTCTCTCTGTTTCTGTGCAAGGAAAAGGCCAATTATCAGGGTTCCCATGTTGCCGACCTAGGGTTTTTTACCATATCAGGAAACTTTAAATTTAGCGTTTGGATATCGTTGGAGATGCTAGAAGTTTGCCATCTATGGAAAATTTGGAATCTTTGTGCCATTTTTACCATTTACTTGGTGGAAAAAGGTTAGGGAATTACACTCTTGGCTTGATAGAGTGGGTGACCATTACAGGTTTGGGGGTGGATTACCCCTTACGGTTGAGAAACTCTACACGGGTTCAGTTTATCATAGATCTACACGGATAAAGTAGCGGATTTTAGGTTAGAAATTGTAATCATTTAAGGTTCAAAAAATCTAAATAATTCTGAGCCTTAAGTAATTTGAGATTGAATTCTTAAATTTTTTTTTATTAGTTTTAAAAATCTTTTAATTTATAATTTTTTGATATTTAATCCATTTAATAATTTTAAACTATCATCTTCCCCATTAAAAAAATTCAATTCTTGATATTTTAGTCTAAAATTTTGTACACACGTTAGAAGTTCAATCCATTTTGTAAAAAAATTTTGAAATTTTTCAAAATTAAAAACTATATTTGTTTATTTTTTAACATTAAAAATATAGAAATTTATGAAAAATAAAAAATAATTTGAAATGATTTAGATTTTTTTAAGAAACGCTGCATAAATCTCATTGAATGATTTTTACAATTAAACTATTTATATAATTGCTATTTTTTGAGATAAATGGAAAAAAATTGAAAGATTGGTAAATTTTAAAAAATCTAAAGTTTAAAAATTTTCAAAATCAATAAAAAATTTTAAAAATTCAATCTCAAATGACTTGAAATTCATAAATGATTAGATTTTTTAAACCATTATTTTATGGTGAGTTTTGCATAATTTGTGAGTAGGTTTGTGGATTTGTTTTAACCTTTCAATAATTTGTATCATCCAGGCAAAAAAAAAAGTTATGAATCTCTTCTAAGCTTTAGCAAATAACCAAAAGTGAAATAAAAAAATAAAAATAAAGGGCTTCTAAGCATCCTCCGATTTGTTGCTTGAAAAACTATTTGGGAGTCTTTTCTTCGCGTAAAAGTCAATGAAACTTTGAAAGTCAAGTTAATTCATTTTTTCATAAAGCCTAAATAGTGGTAACTAATAATTTATTAACCACGAACCACTTGTGCTAAATAAAAACTAGTTGTTAATTCTAAAAAAAGAAAAATCCCGATATGGGATTCACCGGCATTGGCGATTTCAAAGTCCAAAACGGTCGGCACTTTTTTTGGATTTTCGAGCAGGGTTTTTGGAATTTTGTAAATACGTTTAAAACGGACAGGTGTGGGTCAAAAGATGAGTGGATTCAATTATATTTTCTATAAACTCTATTTAACCCCTGCAGATTTTCTAGTGTTCCACTTTGACTTCTATAGTTGCTAACTTTCCAATGTAACTCTAGAATTTCCAAAAAGTTTCAACGTAACCTTTTATTACTAAATAGCAAACCTGCAATTAATATTTGGATCCCGGTGGGAGAGTCTATCGCTAAAAAAAGTCAACTTTTTTTAATGTATTAAAACAATATAAAAGATGCATTTTTAAAACCATTGTGGAAAGAGACTTAATCTTTATTAATGTCAAAATATTGTATCATTAACAAAATATACAAACACTATCATGTTAGTGAGATTTATAAAACCAAAAGAAATGAATATTTTATACTAACTTTGTTAGCTAATTTGTGAAAAAAAAAACTTATATCATGTCCAACTCGTGGTTAGATATAGAGATGATATTGTAAAAAATTATTATATAAAGATGAAAGATGAATATTGATAAATTTTGAGGGATTGAAATATAATTTACCCAGTTCTTCTCGCAACCTCTGCAAAAAGGTTGCTAATATTTCCTTGTCAAGAAGGACCTATACTGCCATGGATGGTGACGACTGACGATACCGCATCGCGCCTACGTCACACGCGCTAACGATTGTGTTTTTTTTATTTTTATTTATATTGAGTACCCTCCGGTGATGTTCTTTACCGTATGGCCAAATAGCCAATTAGCTTTTAAGCTTTCCGTCTTGCGAATCAATAAGATTCATGGGATGGACCTCTTATTTAAATATTTATTTTTAACCGTCAATTGCTATTTTTCGATTAGGTTCAACAAGTGTGATTAAGTATATCTTTCTACTCTAGTAGAGAATACATAGAATACAAATTTTTTATAATTACAACGGTAAATATTATAAAAACTTATTCAATATTACAAATATTATTACATAAGTATTATTAGAAAAAAAATAATATCAATTTAGTATTTTGTTTAACCTAAATATATTTCTGTAAATGAGGATTTTGAAAACTAATAAGACGATTGGTCGATATGTCGGTCAATATGCAAATAGCTAGTATTGTGAATTGTTAAACCAAAATAAAATGAATGTAAATAGTGAAAGGTGTTTATTTCGCTAGATATTAAAAATTCTGAAGTCAAAAGTTCTCTAATTTAAAAGTTACAAATGCCTCACAATGATATGAGGCTGATACTTACAATGAAAGAAGATACTTTTTAACTGTTCGGATCGTATCACGTCATATAAGTTTGAAAGATTAAATTTAACTTGTAGGATTTAAGTTTTTTGAGCTAAATTGCTTTAATTAATTAGAAAATACTAAAAAAAATAATAATTACTTTTTTCTTTAACAGATTCTATTCCGAGTCCACTAAGCTCATCTTCTTGATGCATCATAATAAGAAGGCATGGACACTCATCCTGTTAGAATACTTGTATCTATTCTATAATCCAAAATCCTGTGTTGAGTTAGATCCATTCTTAATTCAATCAATTTGTCATACAATTTGGATCCACGTCAAAATATATATATTAGCTAAATTAATTAATTAAAATATCAAACATATACTATTTCTAATTACATTTCAAAACACAAATTATTTATAGCTATTTATCATTTTTACCATCAACACACGATATAATTATATAAAACTGTTATTATCGCAAATATTTAAAATAAAAAACATCTATTGAAAAAAAAAGAAGTTAGAAGCAAGAGGAAAATAAATTTTCTTTAACTACTAAACTTATTCCAGTAACAAATCCAATAATAAAAAGATTAAAAATCCATTTTTACCCTCATCCGACGTAGGAAATTCTAACCGATGATCGCACCAAACCGTAGGATTACTCTAAAAAACCCTCCATTTTGCTTCACTTTTCTCTATAACTTTACTTTTCGGTTTCCTCTCTCCCAGGTCTCTCTTACACTCCCATTTCCCGAGAAAATCAACACAATAACCAAACACAACACACTTAATCCTCTAATTCTCGGCAATCATTATTTATTCATTATTTAAATGCATTTTTAGTGAAGAACCATAAAGAAAGAGATAGAGATAAGAGTAAGAATCGGATCAATAAATCATGGAGAACGAAACTGTAGAGAACGGAGTTTGTTCAACGGAAGCGGTAAATGGAAGCTGTGATGTCTGGAGTCGTAAAAATTCTGATTCTGCTTCTGCTGATCATCTTGTCATAATGGTTCACGGTATCCTTGGAAGGTATGATTTTTTTTTTTTATTAATCACTGATCATCGTGTTCTGTTTATTTAATTTATTGAATATTTTGATCTGGGGTGGACTTAATTTTGTTGATCGCGAGAGAAAAATGCGAACTAGCTTTCAAAGTTTTTGTCTTTTTATTTTACTTTGTTGAATTTTCACCCCAATTGCTGAATTTGGAATTCAATTACTTCTATTGTTTGCTTAATCTGGCGGTTTTTTTTTTTTTAATCAGGATTTGGTTTAGTTTTGTTGATTACGAGAGCAAAATGCCAACTCTTTTCTAAAGTTTCTGTCTTTTTTGAGTTAACCGAATTTTCAGGCGTAGTTATTGAATTTGGAATTAATTGGTTATGCTGTTCGCTAATTGTGGTTGTGTTTTCGAGTGATCAGTAACACAGATTGGAAGTTTGGAGCAGAGCAGTTTGTTAAAACTTTACCTGATAAAGTATTTGTTCATTGTAAGTATCATTAGTTATGTTTTCGATATTAAAAAGGAGAGAAACCCTTTGTTGAGTGGAGTTTAAATCAATTCTTTTGCTCTTTTTTTTTTAAAAAAAAACTAAGAATGGAATGCTTAGGTTGGTTTTACTTGCGTTGTAGGTAGTGAAAAAAATATGTTTAGGCTGACACTTGATGGTGTTGACGTGATGGGCGAGCGGTTGGCTGAAGAGGTATTGCAGTTTTGGGATTCATGGGTGTATCTTTAGCTATTTACTAAATTTGGTTGCATTTTCTATGCTGGGTTATTGATGGAATATTTGAATTTTAGGTACTTGAAGTGATTCAAAGAAAGCCGAATTTGCGGAAGATTTCATTTGTTGCACATTCTGTGGGAGGATTAGTGGCGAGATATGCTATTGGGAGATTGTATAGACCACCCAAGAAAGAGAATGCAGAAGATTCAACTGATGGTACAAGCGAGGATGACTTAAAGGCTACAATAGGTGGCTTGGAGCCTATGAACTTTGTCACCGTTGCTACACCTCACCTTGGTTCAAGGGGGAATAAGCAGGTATCATATTTTGATTGACTAGTGTCATTTAGATTTTGAAATTTCGTCAACATCCACTCAAAACATTGATAAGCTAATGATTAGGTTGATTAAATGTTTTCATAACAAAAAAACTGTGTATTGACTATTGAGTAGGACTCTTTTTGTATAAAAAGGTGCTGAAATGGTATTTTATGATTTTCACTTGCTTACAAGAGTATTTCTTTTAGAGGACGAATCCCTGTGGTTTGCTGCGTGAATTGACAGTAGCACTGGGTTAATTGTATGATAAAAGCGTATTTTTTGGCAAAGAGATAAAATAAGCCAAGTGAAGACTGTCTTTATCCTTGTGCTCTGAGCAGTAGAGAAAATAGAATAGGTCTCTATTTTTTTGCAAGTGAGCCAAGAAGCACATACTTGTATTGGGTAGTTTTACTGGATAAGCAATTTTGTGGTGAAATCTCACTAGAATAACTACCTTGCTACTAAATCTGAGCAAACAAGTAGCTTTACTTGTTTTCTTGTTACTATCTGGACTGAACACTGTAATCATTCCTTAAACTTAGCTTTAATTAAATTTATATTAAGCTTACTTGTGAATTTTGTTCAAAAAATGTCTTCATTTGCAGGTTCCATTTCTTTTTGGTGTACCTGCCTTTGAGAAAGCTGCTAGCCTCTTGATTCATTGGATATTTAAGAGAACAGGTCGACACCTTTTTCTTAATGATGACGATGAGGGCAAACCTCCATTGCTTAAATGCATGATAGAAGATTATGGTGATTGTTATTTCATGTATGCCACTTACACAGCAGTTCTATATACAGATTTCTTCTTTATTGTTTTTTGAGATGTCATCTTTATGCTATCCAAATATGTAGTTAATAAGAGCATCTAACTAATTCTGTAGGTCGGCATTGCGTCTGTTCAAACGTCGGGTGGCATATTCAAATGTGGGCTATGACCGTATCCTTTTTCTTCCTTCAAAGTACCTATGGTAATATGTATTCAGAAAACATGGCACAATCTCTTTGTGTCCTTAATGAAAATCTTTTAGATATTGTGGGCTGGAGAACATCGTCCATCAGGCGTAATAATGAATTGCCAAAGGTACATCCACTCCCACTGTATAGTATAGTTTCCTTTATATTATCGACTGTTGGTTAGAATGTACTGACTGAAATGTCATTTTATGTTTTAGTGGGAGGATTGTATTAATAAGGAATATCCACATATTGTATACGAAGAACGCTGCAAGGCCTGTGATGCTGAGCAGTCTGAGCTTATTTCAACAGAAGATAGTTTCGACAAGCTAGAAGGTATATTTCGAATGAAAAGATGCAGCCAGTGTGATCACTCCGTTTGTTTTAATTGCCAACTTTGCCAACTTGCCCATTGAGAAATCTTCATTGTCTTGGGGAATTTCCATTGAACCCAATAATTGTTTCTCAATTTTAAAAGTTTGTTTATGGGATTTCATTTGTGCAGAGGAACTAGTGACTGGTCTATCCCGTGTGTCGTGGGAAAAAGTAGACGTTAGCTTCCACTCCAGCAGACAGAGGTTTGCTGCTCATAGTGTAATTCAGGTCTCTCTCTTTCTCCCCCTATGCATGCGTCCATCCATGGATGCATGTATCTTACATTCATCCTGCTGTGTTGTGTTTTTGGTTATATGATATGAAAATGCTAATCATCTCTTAGGAAGAATAATGGTGTCATCAGTGCTTCTGTGTAGGAAAAACACCTTGGAAAATGAAAATAAACTTGGACAAAATTTCTGTGTTATCTAAGGAACCAAATGCCATTCTGCACATATCGCAGGTTAAAGATCAGATCATGCATATAGAAGGTGCAGATGTGATACAACATATGATTGATCATTTTCTTCTCTAAAAGCCAATGACTCCTAGACATAACACACTACAGCTGTTCTAAATGGTAAGTTACTAAATATGTATGCTATTGAAATCCTGTTTCCTGATCCATTGATCTATACCTGGAAGTTCATTTATCACAGGTTGAAGGTTGTCAACTATCATGGTGATGGTGAATTCAGCGAAAAAACCACGACTAATAAAACAATTTAATAGAAATTTTGTTTATTCATTTATGTCATTGTATGTAATGTACACATATTATGACGATCAATAAATGAAACAAAATGCTATATATTTAGCCCTTATCAACTTTACAATACTTGTATGCATGTATAACAGGTGTGATTAGCAGACCTATGGTTGCAACTTGCAAGTCAAAACTAAGAAATGCGATTAATTGCACAAGGCATGCTTCATTTGAACTTAAAACTTATGCATTAGAGAATGTCTTTTGAGGTTTTGCAATTCTGCTTTATTTTTTTATTTCCTCTCTCTCTAATAAACCGTTTAATTGAATAATTTTCCAAATTGGTATGTGTTATCTGATTTATGTCAGAATAATTAAAATCATCTAATCATAGATAATGATTGTCTAATTCATTATTGAGCATATTTTACATGAAAAATAACAATGAATTTCCATTTCAACCCACTGAACACCTACGATCTCTGTGAAGTGATTGTGGGTTCTATTCCTTTTCATGCCTGTAAGTTTAGTTCTTTCTAATTTTCGACAAGTTGAATTAGACAACAAATATAAATCAAAATTGGATATAACACAAACATGGAGGTGCCCGATAAACAGGGGTGAAATGATACGGTAGGCCCGTTATTCATCCTGAGCTTAGCTTTTCTTCTCTTCTCTTTTCTTTTCTTTTGGTGCAAAGGAGAGACATAGCGCTGGGAAGGCTAATACAGTCTACTAAATCTTGGAGTCACAACTCCACAAATATCCTCTTGGAGGGTTTGCATGGTCGTAGCTGTAAGGAGTAAATATGAGAAGCTAACCGATTTATGCTTCTATAAGGAACGTGCTTCCCATATAGATTGCCATGGTCTTTGGAGAGTATTGCAACATGCAGCAACAAGAACAAGAGGGGTATAATCGCTTACTCTGCAATCTGCATCTCCTCAGGAGTGATTATGGAGTGGAATGCCAATTTTGAGTCCATCTGAAGCAGCACTTTCTTATA